ACGGCACACATCAAAAATGAAATTTAGTTGCCCACTCTCAAAGTGAAGCACATACATGACACACACCTAAACATATTATATATAAAGATGTACAGACCCACACCCCTACATATACATAACAAATAAATATTAAATATCTTGAATATATAACGGAAGAAGGAAGCTTGAGAGTTCATAAGGTTAATGCTGTACGGAATGAAACTATGGCTGAATCTGGATGTTCTGCTTCGGATACCATGAAGCCTCCTCCCAGAATGTAACAAGGAAAACAGGTCGTGAAGAGGATGTGTAGTGTCCCAGATTATCTTATGGACCCTGCTCATGCAACGCTTCTGTGCTAGGTCCTGGATGGGAGGGAGGGAACTGCGCTTTTCGGCCATCCTCGCCACTCTCTGTACCACCTTCCGTATCTGAAGCAGTGATGCTTCCAAACCAGACTGTGAGGCTGTATGACAAGTTGCTTTCAATCGTCCCCCTGTAGAAAGTGGTAAGGATAGGAGAAGGAAGATGTGCTTTTCTCATGCGATGCAGAAAATGCAGGCGCTGCTGTGCCTGCTTCACCACTGTCTCGCTGTTGAGCGACCAAGCCAGCCTACTCGTTAGCTGCACACCCAGGAATTTGATGCTGGTAACCATCTCCACAGGTGAATCATTAATGCACAGAGAAGTGTGGCTGTGCCTGCCTTTTCTGAAATCGAGAATGATCTCTTTGGTTTTTCCAGTATTTAAAACTAGGCTGTTTTCCTTACATGGGTTTACTAACCTCTCAACCTCCTTGCGGTAAGCATCCAGATTGTCATCATGAATAAGGCCCACTACTGTTATATCATCTGCAAACTTCACATTATGGTTTGTGGCAAACAGGGTGAACAGCAGCAGATTTAGGACACAGCCCTGAGGAGAACCTGTGCTCAAGAAAATGGTATTAGAAGTATTTGTTCCAACTCCGATATACTGGGGCCTGTTGGTAAGAAAATCAAGAATCCAGTTGCACAAAGGGTTAGATGACACAAAGTTGGGAAGGGTTAAACTTTAGATGAAAGAGTGAAGATAACAAATTTTCACAGATTTGAGCAATGAAATGAATTGGATGGAATTAATCAAGGAGAAATGTTATGTTCTGCATATTGAATGGAAAAATGTAAGCTACAAACATAGAATGGAAACTTGTCTTCATAGTAGAGTATACAGTATGTGAAAGGAATCTGGGTGTCCTTGTTAAATAGGAGTTAGCAGTGTGATGCCTCTGTTAGAAAGGTAAATATTGTCAAAGGTCATTCCCAGGCCCCAGAGTTTATATTACAAAAATTGTTCTGCTGTACTCTGTCCTAATCGTCTTCTATTTTGGAATACTAAATCCAGTTCTGAATATCACATTGACTTTTAACAATCTGAAAGGAGAGCTAACAGACTAGTGAAAAATCTGGAAATGAAGTCATATGAGGAATGGTTAAAAAATCTGGATATGTTTATAGAAAAGACAATTGAGAGGAGATACGATAGTAGTCTTCAACTACCTGAATAATTGTCAAATAGTAGAGAATTAGACCAAAACCAATGGCTTAAACCTACTAGGAATAACATTCAGGGTAGGCATCAAGAAATACTTCCTGATGTTCAGGATTTTAGTCACTGGAACCAGCTGCCACACAAAGTGTTTCAATCTCTTTTGCTACAGGTATTGAAAAGCTGGTTGGTCACCTGTCAAGAGTCTTTGTATTGAACAGCAGACAGTGCTAAATTACTTTAAAGTTTCTGACTTTCATACTGTAAAGTAAACTGTATACAAAATGATGTTCTATAGGGAACTTTATACAAAGTTGCCTGCTTGTGAGAAGAAATTTTAAAAGAGATGAATTGTCATGTAAGATCTTTAAAAAAAAAACCAAATCAATGTTCCTGAATATAAAGTAGAAAATGAGGCAGATTTCATTTAGGAATGAATACATGACTAAATTATAGAAAATTATCTCTCTACTTCCGGCCAGCATCTCTGAGCCAGTTCCACCACAACAATTGCTTCAAAATTTTCCGCAGTATGGTGATTAACACATTTGAAGGGCATCATTTGAGGGAAGGTTATATTGTGTTGTGGTGGCTCTCTACTGTAACTAATATTCGTGGGAAAATGTGTGCTTTTTTGGGGAGATATTCAAAATTAAACTCTGATATGGGATTACAGAATACTGAGAATTGCTGCAGTTTCTATCACTAAGGTCTATCAAACTGCTGCTGCTGCTTTACAGAGCAAACAATGCTCAATCATTCATCAAGAGTGATGATATCAGGTGCCAAACACCAGTCTACTCTTCATTCTCAAATTAATATTTGCTTGCCTCTTTGAAGCGTTTCCTTATACTGTATGGGTCTAAAATTGAGGAATTCGGATGTACTGAGCCTCGATTCTTAAATAAAGCACAAATTGTTTGAAGATTTCCCAGTCCTGTTGTTTGTTACATCAAACCTGCTGCCACTTTAATTGCTGAGAGAGGAAACCATCTCACTGTGAAGCTCATTTAGCCCCAGATTCAAAATTATAAGCATTGCCTTGAGACATTTAAGGCTTATTTTCAACAGCCACCTGCAATTTTTAATAATGCTGTCAAATTCTTGTTGACCAGAGCTGAGTATGTATGGCATAAAAGCAGCAAAGAGAAGATTAATTTTTAGCCCCATTATATCATTTATTTTTCATCCTGGCACTGAAACTCAGCTCATGCAGAATGTAGGGGCATAAAATAGAAGTCTCTGGGCCACAAGACAAATCTCCAAGATGGGAAGTATGGCAGCAGTGGTAATGTATTCTTGGGGATCATGCAACACAATACCATGACTTTTTTATTTCTATTTGTCTTCTTCTTTCCGATCTATATTTCTTCATGTTTTTTGGTCCTTTTCAACTTCCCCCCTTGCAAGAAAAGAAAGAGGAAGTTAAGCAAGAATGAGCATATTGTCAGTGGTTGAATACAGCTTTTGATTATCCCCATTGCTTAAACTAATTAACCAATTGTTTGAACCAATTGATTTTTTTCCATTGGTTGCTTAACAACAGTGTAATAATAAATAGTCAATTTCTGCTGAACTCAGTTAGAAAATAGAAGCATGCAACATTGCCAAGGAGAGACTTACAAGAACATACCATCCTCAAGCTACCAATATATTTCAGTGATGTTGCTAATGTTCTAGTAGAATTGTAAAAAAAAAAAAATCTGTGTCAGCGTTGTGAAGAAGCAAACACTATTTCCTTGCCATTTCTAAACAGCTAGGAATTAGGGGAATTGAAGTTTAATATCTCTAAAGAACACCAGCTGTGTGTTCTAAACTATTGTCTGCATTCCATAATTTGTCTCCTGTCACCCATTAAGCATCATAGGGAGAGCTCCCCTTGTTGTGTTACAAGTACATAATGATGATAGAAAGAAAATCTGTATCTTGTATCCTCAAAGATATTGTAACAACTATTATTACTGAATGTGCATTAAATGTGCATTTAGATGCTAAAACATTTTTCACAATTAAAAATGAAAAGCCATATTCAATAAGACTTATTGAACATATTTTTTGTTTATTGATATTTTGCCTTTGTATAGAGAAATGAATCTCTGTTCCTTTCTGTTCTTCAGGATTTTCTTTCCTTTTGCCCTCCTAACAGCTGTTCTCAAGCGGAAACTGTGATACACTTCATTTGAACAAAAATTTTGACCCTATGAGTGAAGGAATTCCTGAAATACTAACCCATATTCTTTTATACAAAAAATGCCTGATTACTACATTTAAACAGTTTTTCAGGCCACTTGGGTGCATTTTATATATAGTTATTATCCAATCAACACGAATTTATTTCTCTTAATGTGGCTGTTTTTTTTTTTTCACTATTGGTAAAATATGTCAAATCCTGACCACACCGCTTTATAATTGACTTTTATTGTGTTTTTTATTTGCTCTCTTTTTTTTTTTTTTGCTTTCATTTTTGAACTATGACTGTCATAAAATACAGGTAGTCTTCAATTTACAATTGGTAATTGAGTGCAAAATTTCATTCATAAATTATTATAGTTATAAATAATTTTATAGCCTTTTTCATAGCAGTCATTACGTGAAGACAGTGGTCATTAAGTGAACCCATTCATTTGAATGGGTGTTTTTTGCTGTAATCAGCACAAATAATTGCAAATCATATGAAACTGCAGAACTCTACAGTGGGTCATAAAGCCAATTTGCCTGACATGCTGTTACATGATCATGGACCATAAAGCACTGGTTTTGTGGCCATTGTAACTTCAACTTCAACTTCAAAATGATCAGTCATTAAGTGAGGACCATCTGTATTTTGTATTAAGTTTTTCCTGGTCTTTCAGTTGCTAATTATTCTAATACCCATACCATCATGGATATCTTTCATGGTGGAATCAGTTACGATCTTAAATTCCCAATTAAAGCAATAGCTTGTCTTCTACAGTGAAGCTCTAGGGCTGGATCATTTGGCAACTTGTTGTAGGGATCTCTAACTCATGATTGTCCAAATACAGATAAGAAAGCAGAGAAAGGGTGAATGCTGAGGATAAAAAGGAGTCAGAAAACACCGAGGATATGAGGAAAAAAGCTAAAAGTCCTTGGTATAACCTAAAATAAATTTACTCCTGTTAAATCTTTTCCTGGCTGCCAAGAGATGGTTTCCCCAATGGAGAATTACTTAGAGAACACATACCGTTCTTTCCCCTGCCAAAACAACAACAACAGAGAGAGAGAGCGCGCACAAAAGGGCAAACCATCCTTCAATGCTTAGCTGAATTCATTTCCTTCAATTTCTTGTTCCTTCAATCACTATTTTTGAAAGAGCTATTGGAATATTTTCTTTTTAATAAATTTTAATAAAGGCTTTTTAAATGACTTTTATATTCTGATATGTCTATTCTAAGTGCAAATGGCAGAAAGTATGTCTTATTTGCATTTATCATTAATATTTTGCAAATTGAGATGAATTTCTTTTTTTTGTTCAGTCTGACAGTTGATGATGGAAACATAAAAAGTAAAGAAGAAGAGTTATTGCTTCAAATAATCATCAAAGCGAGGCAGGGGAGCAATAATGAAAAATATGAATCAAGACATGGATGTATCAGTCTAAGAACAGTACAGAGGTCAGTTTGAAAATTTAACAAACTATAAAATGAAATTATTAATTTATTAATCCACTGGAACACATATTTGCATAAAATAGATCATATTATAATCTCTGCAGTTCAGATTCTAGGTTCCTGGTGTTGTCTGAGCATGGTTGATTTCCAACAGAAGTTTCATTACCAAAGGAGGCAACATCATCACATGATAGGAGAGTGGAATTTGCTGGTTATTTATATATAATACTTTGCCCTGCTACTTTTGGTTGGAATATGTTTTTTTTCTTTCATGGTTCTTCAGTTAGGTTAATGTTTCTGCCTTGATTCTTTTACCTATGATAGGGTGGCGAACCTATGGCACGCTTGCCAGAGGTGGTACTCAGAGCCCTCTCTGTGGACACGTGCGCCGTTGCCCCAGCAGAGTTCACCAGAGTAGTGAGCATGTGGTGTTTAGAAGCGACAGGGCAGAAAGTGAGCAAGCAAGCGGCATTGCCCCCCCCCCGGGATGCCCCGGAGATGGCAAGGGACTGGCCCCGGCCACATTCACCCAGTCTGCCGTGACCACTGCAGCCACACCCACCCAGTGGGCCACGCCCCCCCCGAGGGCACCAGAATGCTGATGCAGCCGTGGCACTTTGCAATAAATAAGCAGGTTTTGGGTTGTAGTTTGGGCACTCAATCTCTCAAAGGTTCGCCATCACTGACCTATGATGTATCTTAGGTACATTATTTGGTTATTGGCTGCTGGGAAGGATATGCTCTTGGCTATTTTTTCCCCCTTCTTGACTTTCTTGGTGGTATCTTTTAAATGGGATATAGAGATGGTTTATTTAATATGTCTGATGATGGCTGGTTTGTCTGATTCCCTAGGTTTGAGGATTTGTCTGGGTCTAGAATGTTAACAGTTTGTTACTTGAAATTGGAGTAAAATTTATCTACATCTTAAGAGATTAAGGAATTCTCCAGCATGTAGAGGAACGTAGACTCCACGCATGGGTTGATTTAGTCTTCTAGCCCAATCAGACCAAACAATCAAAGTTGCCACGCCTCTGCAGGGTCTGACCATGCCCCAGTTTTCGTTTGGTCTCAGCCCTGAAGACACATGAGAATTTGGCTCCTAATTTAGATTCAGAAAGGTAGTTATTGCCATTCGTGGTTTCTCTATCCTTTTTTTTCCTTCTTGGGGGGGGGGGATTGGTTCAGCTCTGAGCTCAGTGCTGCACCATTTCTTCTCTCTTAATCAATCCCTTCTCCGTGAGTTTTCAGAGGCAGACAGCTGATCGTAGATTGCAGCCTCCTCTTTACAATCCACCTCCCCCACCCCCTCCCAAGATCTTCGCTGTGAATGCGAAGCTAAACTATTAATTTTCAGCTGAAAACTGAAATCATCTTCTTAGGTTATTTACCAATTCAAACAACCTGCGGGCGCCATTTTGAGCCTCTAGAAGGCTGGATCCTCACACTACTCAAGTACTTCCTTGTTACTGTTGATTGTCAGCTGTAAATTACCCCCCCCCCCCCAAAAAAAAACAGCAGGTGAACTGTTTGACTAAAAGAGCTGATTACCAGATTACTTGCAGGAGAGGATTTTTTCTCTCAGCTTGTTTCATCTCTCATCAGATTGTCCCGGTCGCCATTTTGGGCTCCGCCCGATCACACACATTAAATTGACTGCTTTGTCCTAATTACAGCCTTTTCAGTCACGAAGTAACTTACTTATTTGGTGATTCTCCCTAAGTGGGGGGGGGGAATAGGAGTTCTAATTACATTCCTTTAGATCTTCATTCAGCTGCTTAATAGGCACCATCTCAGGTTGCCTAGTGGACATAGGGAAAATACCTTGAGTCTCTCACTCCATTTTATCTGGTAATATTCCAGACTGTGATTTACCAGTACCTTTTAAATATCCAGTGCCAACAGATTGGATGGCTGCTTGCCTTGCCTGTTTTCCGCTGTCTGAATAGTGGTCGGCACTTACTGTCCATCACTAAGTGAGACACGAGGGTAAAAAAAATCAATTAAAATAAAACAGAATTAAATTAAACAAGATATATACTATATTCATATATAGACTTATCTTTAATTTGATACCTTTTCGGCCAAATTGTCTCTATTACAGTGGGCCTGAAAAATTGAATGGGGAGGACAGCCCCTGAGCGTAGCGCGGCTTATATCGCATAGTGATTCTGTGCTTAACGGTGGGCCAGACCTCACAGACCCTCGTGCAGGCCTGTACCACCCAGATGGGCCGTGGCCTTCCTTTCTCCTGCAGACCAAGAGCCGATCCAGGGATCTCCTGGTGAAAACCTGCTCTTTCTTCTCCTGCAGAACAGGACTGATCCAGGGATCTCCTGGTGACAACCTGTCTTTTCTTCTACTGCAGTACAGGCCAGATCCAGGGATCTCCTGGTGAACACCTGTTGTTTATTTCCTATTGTTTATTTCAATATGGCGGATAATACCGTTTCACAGGCTTCCACCTCCAGTGGAAATATAAAACGCAAGCCATCCAGTTTGGATACACCTGCAAAAGCCAAGGCCAAGGTCAAACGGACCTCTAAGGCCGATGACAAGCAAGCAGATAGCAGACATGGGGTGCTGGAGCGACAATTCTCCAAAGCCCAGCGGCAGACAGGAGAGACGCAACTTATCCCCTCACCTCCTCTTGCATCCACATCAGGGGAGCATCGACCTTCCCCTCTTACACAGGCTTGGTCTCCCGAGCAGACCCTGGACCAGGGTCCCTTGCTGGGATATGAACGGGACCATCTGTCCCTCTTTGACCGAGAATTGAGATTACAGGTCCAAGATTCAATTCCAGCTGCTGAGCCAGGACCTTCCTCAGTGTCTTGTGGGTCTCAGGGGGAGGTTACTACAGTCGTCCCTCCCCAAATCCCATCAGCATCTTTCACGCCGATGGCGGCGGGTCTTCGGGGCCCCGAACATCCTTCATTTACTGTCCAGCTCCAAGCCATGATCTCACAGGCAGTGGTTCAGTTAATGGCGGCTTCAGGGAGGGCCATTCTGGTCCAAGGACTGTCAACCCCCCCTACGCCCACGGAAACTAGGCATCCCAGGGAGTATGTGATTTCAGATCACGGTTCTCCACCTCAATCTGAAGGGAGCGAGATATCAGATTTTTCTGCTCAGATTCCGGAAGAAGGCATGTGGTCAGACGGGGAAGACATTCAGGCGGAGGCCACTCCTATGGTAGGGGTGTTTAATCCAAATTCCTTCTATCCTCTTTTACAAAAGGCCTATGTCACCGGAAAAATTGAACCCGTGAAACCACAGACGACCGATCAGGACTCTGGACAGAGTTCTGACCCACTGTTTCTGGAACCGGTCAAGAAGAACCTACAGATACCTTGCCCCCCTATGTTTCTCAAATCCATTCAGGATCAGTGGGGATCTCCTGGAAGTTTCTCTGCTCTTGGGGGATTAGATCGTAAGCTCTTAGATACGGTCCCTTCCCTCAACGATGTCCTCGAAGTTCCGAGTGTAGACGAGGCTCTCGCCCCCATACTGTCAGACACCAAAATCCCAGGAGATATGTCGGAGGCCCTTAAGGCTGAGGACAAGAAGTCTGAGATTTCCCTCAAAAGGACCCATCAGGCATCGGCTTGGGCTATAAGAGCCTCAACATCTAACTCTTTTTCGCTAGAATTGCATTAATCTGGCTCAGGGAATTACAGGCCAGATTATCCCCAGACGAGGTAAGGGTTCACCAGGATGTCACTAAACTAAGGGCCGCACTGGAATACATGGCGGATGTGTCTCTGCAGTCGGCCAAATATTCGGCTCGGGCCATAGCTTCCAACGTGGCCGCACGCCGGTTATTCTGGCTAAAAAATTGGAAGGCCGATACCAGGCACAAATGGAGAGTAGCTGCAGCACCATATCATAAGGGTCACCTTTTTGGAGAGGCTCTCACTCCTTACCTGACTGAAAACAAAGAAAAGTTGAAAGTACTAGCTCATGTTGTCAAAAAAACGGGCAGACGTTTTTCTCCATACAACCGGCGTCCGTCGTTCAAGTCTGGCTCAGACCGAACTACATGGAGCGGGTATCGGCCCTTTCAAGCAGGGCCGGACCGCTCATCGGACCGGTCCGGCTACAGAGACAAGCCAAAGCCACAATTCCAGGCTAAGAGGCCCCTTCGCGGCAGAGGAGCTCGTCCTTTCCGAAAGTCAAAGTGACTTGAGGCGGATTCCTCCCATTGGCGGAAGACTGGCATTATATTTCCACAAATGGGAAAGTACCACCACGGACAATTGGGTTCTAACCACTATCAGAGACGGACTGTCGCTGGAGTTCCTCACACTCCCACCTCGGCGCTTCATCTCCTGCCCCCTATCCATAAATCCCGTGAAACAAGGTCTCATGGAGGAGGCCATTTGTCATCTGTTAAGCTTAGAGGCAATAGAGCGGGTACCCCCAGATCATTGGGGACTAGGTTTCTACTCCATCCTGTTCATGGTACCAAAACCCTCAGGAGGATGGAGGGCGATCCTAGACCTCAAGGCTCTAAATCGGTAGCTAATTTACCAAAAATTCAAGATGCAAACTCTTCATTCTATTCTGGGCAGTATTCGGCCGCGGGATTTTCTTACATCCATAGATCTGACAGAAGCTTACCTGCACGTTCCCATACATCCAAATCACAGGCGTTTCCTCAGATTCAGGTATTCCAACCATCACTATCAGTACAGGGCCCTGCCATTCGGCCTATCATCAGCTCCAAGGGTTTTCACCAAAATCCTGGCGGTTCTCGCCGCACAGCTCAGGTTGGTACCAGTCCGCGTTCAGTGCTACTTGGACGATATCCTAATCCAGTCGTCCTCGGCACTGAACGCCCGTTCAGACGTGGCACTGACGATCAAGACACTCCAGGATCATGGATTTATGATCAACTTCCCAAAGAGCCATCTGATCCCAACAAACCGTTTGCTCCACCTAGGCGCAATAATAGACACCAGCCAGTGCCGAGTTTTCCTGTCTCAGGAGCGTCAGCTCAGCAT